TGTTTTATGAAGATTGCTTCGGTGGCACCTGCAGAACTGATTGGAGGTGAGCGAGAGGAAATCCAGGGGACGGAGGGGGTTTGTCAAGGGCCCAGCTGGACCTCTGGGCCTCGGAGTTCAGAAGTAAGGTGGGTTCTGACAGTCATCGGAATGGGGATGTGGCTGAGGCCAGGGTGTGCTAGAGGTCACCTGGAGGCACTTGGCCTGGGAAGAGAAGTCTTGAGGGCAAACTTTGAGGCAACTGCTGGAGTCTGAATTATGATGAGAATCAGGGAGTGGTCGGGGTGAACACGAGGGAGGTCAAGTACGTCCAAATGAAAGGTTCTGCTGGGCTCAGCAACCTTGCAGTCACCTGTGACTATGCAGAGAGCCACATCAGTGGAGTGATGGGGCAGAAGCCACGGGGGGGACGCTGAAGGGAGAGGGCTGGGGAAACAGAGACCATGGTGGGGGGCAAGGCCCTGGAGGGGGGGGGGGGGTGGGGGAGGCTAAAAAGGGGGGGGGGGGGGGGGTTTTCATTGGTTGGTTGGTGGTATTTTAAAATGGAAAAATCCAGCAGAGGGAACCTTTCTTTTTCTTTTCTTCTCTCTTTTTTTTAAGATTTATTCATTTATGATTTGAGAGAGAGAGAGCAAGTGAGCAGGGGGTGAGGCAGAGGGAGAGAATCTCCAGCAGGGCCCGACATGGGGCTCAGTCTCACAACCCCGAGATCATGACCTGAGCAGAAATCAAGAGTCGAACACTTAACAGACTGAGCCACCCAGGCGCCCCATAGAGGGAATTTTTCTTATGCCCAGCCTTTCCCTGTTCCCATTTTTGTTTTGTTTGTTTGTTTATGTTATTTGCACATTTTATTCGTTTTGTATCACTCAGTAGCTGCCAACTCTTAAAAATATGGTGGTGGCTCAAATGAAAACATTCACTATTCTAAAATAATTCCTGAGCCTACAAATAATTTTTCTTACAAGTGTATCCTCCACCATTGAAGAGGTTGCATGGTCTAGAGGAAAGTAGGATTAGGCAGGCGTCCCGAGACCTGGTGACCAGTCCCCAGTAGGCTGTGAATCAACTAGATCTGAACAAACTGGTTGACCAAGAAAGGTTGGGCATAAGGAAGAACACGGATCAAGAAGGTGTCCTGCGAAGGTCAGAGGGATCGCCTCTGAGATGGAGGGCCTGACCTTAGATAGGAGGAATCTACTCAGCTGAAACAGGAGGTTAGGAGGAGAGGGTGGTCAATATGCACGAAGGTCGGTGGTTTGGCCTCTGGTGGGGCATTATCAGAGATTTCTCTTCAATGACTTCTAATAATAACAGGCCAGGTGTTGGGGCCGTGGGTAAGCCCCAGGGCCGTGGAAATAGAAGGTTTGCAGTGTCCGTTGTGAAGGGAGGCAGAGTGAGTTGATGGGGAGTGTACCGAAGATTTCCATGCAGGGTTGAAGGGCCGGCTGGCGTTGGGAATCTCTGGGGCGCCCAGCTGCCTTCATGCAGGATGCTCGCCCACAGTGCTCAGTAGTCTGGGGGCAGTGGAGAGGACAGTGCCGATAGTGGATGTCTTCGCTCGGACTGCTGTAACACAATACCATAAACCAGGAGGCCTATCAATGACAGAAGTGTCTTTCTCAGAGCTCTGAAGGCTGGGACGTCTGAGATTGGGGTGCCAGCACGGTTGGGTTCCGGTGACAGCTCTCTTGCAGGCTACAGACCGCCGGTGTCTGGCTGCTCACATGGCGGACGGAGCCAGCTAGCTCTGGCATCTGCTTCTCCCGTGCCAACCCCATTCCTGAGGGCTCCACCCGATCACCTGAGCACTGCCGAACATCATGACGTTGAGCATTAGATCTCAACGTGAGTGAGGGGGACACAAACTCTCAGTCCCTAACGGGCGAGGGGGTCTCTCCAGGAGTGGTGTTTAGCCAGGCAGAGAAAGGGAGGAGATGGAGGGAATTAGGGAAAAAGTTATTGGCATGACCGACCATGGTGGGAAATGAAGACAGGAGGGGCTGATGGTGCCTCAGGGGGATCAAGGAGATTTCTGGAGGAAGAACAGCCTAGGCTGGGGGGAAAGTAAGTGCGAAGCTGTGAGTTGGGTTGGTGAGCCTGTGACCTGCAGTCTGCAATATGGCAGGAGCTGAGGGGGTGAGAGCGGAAGAGGTAGGAAATGCACGGGGGAGCTAGCCAGGGGCCAGAGGCCAGGCCCAGCAGAGATTTTATCTAAGTGTGATGAGAGGCCATTGGAGGGTTTAAAATAAATGGATCTGGCTGCAGTGTGGAGATTAGACAGAGCAGAGGAGACTGGAAAGCTTCCAGGTAGGTGGCTACTGGGGGACTCCAGGTGGGGGGTGGAAAGTGGCGGAATTTGGAAAACACTGTGAGTAGAGCTGAGGAGTTTGCAGATGCCTTGTGGCGGTGATGGCAGCAGAGGAATCCAGGATGACTCCCAGCACTTTCTAGATGTGTAACTGAGCAAGTGGGCCCTGCATCTACCCCACCCATCTCTGGGTGCATGACCCTGCGCCTGCCTTCTATCAAGAGCCATCTTCTCGAGCATCTTCGTTATCCCCTTGCTTAGCTGGGCAGCTTTGTTCTCGTGGTTTTTGTTTTTGTTTTTGTTTTTTTGGTCAGAAGTGGATTTAAAAGGGCCTTCTAGGCTCCAGGCCCTGGAAAAGCCACTGCTCTGTGCTACGGCTTTATTAGCAAGCCCCACGTTCCCTCCAAGCAGCTGTTTGTCATTCTCTGGTGATTCCCCAAGAACACTGGAGAATCTTTCATGGGGACCTGGGGATGACAAGGCATCCATTATTGGCTGTTTTAAACTCTTTCCCTTTCCCTCTGGAGTCAGGGTGCATTCTAGGCTTTTACTCACTGCCTCCAAAGAGCAATTTTCAAAATGTAAATTTGTACACATTACCTGCATCCTTAAAACCCTCTGACAGCTTCCCGTTAGTCTTGGGTAAAAACGAAGTCTTTGCTGTGGCCTGTGAGGTTCTGCGCCTGGGCCGGCCTGGCCAGCTGTGCCAGTGCCATCTGGACCCAGGCTCCCTCCACTCTGGTCTTTCTTTAGGTTCTGCACTCAGCACACTGCTTCCTGCTTCTGGGCCTTTGCACATGCTGTTCTCTCTGTTCAGGCTGCTCCTCTCCTCCTCACTTGGATATTTCCCACTATCCTCAGGTCTCAGTTGGTTCCTCAGGAAAGCATTTTTTCTCTCCCAGATTAGGTCAAATGTACCCCATTATAAACTCGTACCACCAAGTATCTCTCCTTTGTGGCATTTCTCAGAATTACAATTTTATATTCACTTATGTACAGTTATTTAATTTAATTTATGGCGAGTTCCACAAAGGGAGCATGATATGAGTTCAGTAAATTTGCTGAGTGATGAATGAATGAAGGGTTCTCACATTTGTCCTCTCTACTCCATCCCCTACTTTCCTACTCTGGTCTGGATCCACGTCATCTCTGGCTGGCCTGTGGAACCAGCCGTCTGCCGGCCCCCAGCCCCAGCCTCTCCTCCTCCAATGCCTGTGGAGCTATGTTCCCAAAGCCCCACTTTTAACAGAGCAGGCCACTCCTCTGCCATGCTCTCTGTCTTTCTCTTTAAAATAAATAAATAAATCTTTTTTTTTTAAAGATTTTATTCATTTATTCGACAGAGATAACGGCGAGAGAGGGAACACAAGCAGGGGGAGTGGGAGAGGGAGAAGCAGGCTTCCTGCTGAGCAGGGAGCCCGATGCGGGGCTCGATCCCAGGACCCTGGGATCATGACCTGAGCCGAAGGCAGACGCCTAACGACGGAGCCACCCAGGCGCCCCATAAATCTTTTTTAAAAAGAGAGAGAAAAGGCTTATGATAAAATCCTATGTTTAAAAAAAAAAAGAGGGCGCCTGGGTGGCTCAGTTGGTTAAGCGACTGTCTTCGGCTCAGGTCATGATCCTGGAGTCCCGGGATCGAGTCCCAGGATTGAGTCCCGCATCAGGCTCCCTGCTCAGCGGGGAGTCTGCTTCTCCCTCTGACCCTCCCCCCTCTCATGCTCTCTCTATCTCATTCTCTCTCTCAAATAAATAAAATCTTTTTAAAAATAAATAAATAAAAATTAAAAAAGCAGAATGCCGAATTACATGTAGTATGGCCTCGGCAGGTTAAAAAAAACTCTGAAAAACTGTTATAAAATGCTCCAGTATGCGAACCTGAGTTATCTCTGCATGGTAAAATTATGGGCAGCTTCTCTTTCAATCTCTTGCCTTCTGTTTTCTAGAGATGTTGATGTAGATTGAGGGCAGGGATGATGACAGCAGGAATTTGCTAGGAACAGGCAGGAATCTAGGCAGAACGAGGTCACAGAAGTTAAGGAGGAGAAAGGCTCAAGAAGGAGTCTTCGAAAGCAGAACCTTGCCTCCTTCTTAGAGTTGTGTGGTTGGATTTAAATGAGATATATATGAAAGCGATTAGGTTTGCAGGTTTTGGAGTCAGGCCGACTGGTTCACACATCAGTTTCAGAACTTACCAGCTAAGTGGAAACTGCCTGACCTCTCTGAACCTCCATTTCCACATCTGTTACATGGGAATAATAATCAAACATTAGACTATTGGGTCATGATCCTGGAGTCCCAGGATCGAGTCCGCTTCTCCCTCTGCTCCTCCCCCCGGCTTGTGTTCTCTCTCACTCTCTCTCCCAAATAAATAAATAAATAAAATAAAAATCTTTAAAAAAAACCATTGGGCTATTGTTTGGATTAAATGAGGTCATGCATGGAGAGTACTTTGCGCAGTGCCTGACTCATCTATGTCCTAACTTGATGTTGACCATTACTGTTGCTGTTTTCCCGCAGTTGTTAATATTATGGGAATTGTCTTTGCATTATAAAGGGACTATTATTAATAGTTTTTAGCTTTTGAAAGACTTTTCCTGTTCCTCTGGGTAGAGCTTTCTGCACTCAGACCTCTGGGATGTTCATCTGCTCCTGTTCCCTCTGATCTGCAGCGATCCCCTCTGCCACCATGAGGAACATCTTCAAGAGGAACCAGGAGCCCATTGTGGCTCCTACCACCACCACAGCCACAGTATCAACTGGGCTCTTACACAACTCCACCGAGAGTGAGGGCGCTGGGGAGAGTAAGGAGGACATGTTTGCCAAGATAAAGGAGAAATTCTTCAACGAGATCCAGAAGATCCCCTGTGAGTGCCCCAGGTGGCTGAGAGGGCGGGGTGAGGCTAGGGTTAGTGAAAGGCCTTGTGGGCAGGGCAGGGTGGGGAAGAGTGGGGAGAGCCACTGGGGCGTGATTGGCTGCATGTTTGGATTCCAGGATGGGTTGTTTGGGGAGCCCCTTCAGGAATGGGGGAGAGTGGGGTCTAGCGCTATTAAAAGGGAAGACAGGGTTTTATGTGCCCCAGGCTCCCGGGGGGAAAAAAGTCCTTACAGCTTAGAAAATTGTCAAAAGTTGAAACCAGAGGAAGATGAAAAGTCATGAAACAGAAGTCATTTTTGAAGTTTGCCAGTCACGTTTTGAAACTGCTTTAGTTTGGAAGATGGAAAATACCTTCCCTCCTCCCTCACTGCTTTCTGAATTCCTGGCAAAGGCTGGATAGGAGTCACCAGAGATTAAGGGGAGCAGCCCCCACCAGTGGGAGCGGGCACTTCAGGACCCCAGAGAGCAGCCCAGGGCCCATCCCCAGATATTCAAGTTTCGCAAAGCTGAGCCTTCCAGGTCCTTAAGGAGCTTGGCCTGCTGGCCCTGGGTCAGCCCTCTCAAGACTGGACATAGGGAATGGGTTGAAGGGGCTCTTCCTATACCTGGGTCAGATAAGGACCATCCCATGCTCTCCAATATAAGCCAGTTTTCCATAGATCAAACGAGTCAAAACTCAACAGAGCCAAACTGATGTTCTTCCTTATATATACCTGGCTGCTATCTCTCAGTTAGGGGGCTATATCCACAAGGGCAGTAGGCTAAGGAGAGAGCAAGGTATTAATGAAAAGACACGCAAAAAGGATATGCAACTTACACGTCAAGCACTCATGAGTGTGTGGTTTAAAAAGGTGGAGTGTGGGCATTGGACTTCCTAGTCTCACCCATTTTAGCCAATGCTATGGGGTCAGGGGCTGTAAGGCAGAGCACTGCTGACTTCGGGGTCCTCTCTGTGTGGGCAGTACCACCCTGGGCACTGATCGCCATTGCTGTGGTCGCTGGCCTCCTGCTCCTCACCTGCTGCTTCTGCATCTGCAAGAAGTGCTGCTGTAAGAAGAAGAAGAACAAGAAGGAGAAAGGCAAAGGCATGAAGAATGCCATGAACATGAAGGACATGAAAGGGGGTCAGGTAGGACAATGCAGGGGTGGGAGGATCGGAGAGGGGCCCAGCCCAGCCATTCCAGATGCTGGAAGGTGAAGCAAAGGCTTCTGGGCTCTACAGTCAAAACAGCTCCCCTTCTTAGACCTCCACACGCCCTCCCCCTGCCTATTGCCTACGTCTCTAGTGAAATGTTGTCTACCCATCAGCTGGTGGGAAGGGGGGACTTACTCACGTGTTAGCACGGACTCATCCTTGAAAAGACAGAGGAAGAGAACAATATATTGACCCCCAAAGAGGCTATGGGACAAAATGTTGGAAAGAGAAACCCCAACCCTCCAGGAAACCGCCATTGGAGTGGCCCTGTGTTTTCTTGCCAGAAGAGACTAAAGGAGAAAATCTCGCTGGAGGCATCTGCTTGGGATGGGTGCGGGATCAAATGAGGTGAAAGAATGGTCCTGGGGCACCAAGACAGGGCCAAGTGGAATCCATCTCTCTAGTCACATTATCCTTTGGTTTATTTACCCCTGTTTTGGGGGTTTGATTGGCCTGGAAATGTCCTTTGGTCAACCCTAGTTTCTCCTTTTAATTTTCCAAAGGCCCCGGGGTACTTCACTTTTACCCACATTCGTTCATTTGTTCTGGGAGTGACTAGGAGAAATCTCTTGCTCAAGAAATCAATATGGAGGATGGGAGGAAGGGCCTGATCTCCAGAAGTCAGCCAGAGATTAAAGCCTTTGAGTGCTTGAGTGTGCATGTGTATACATGCCTGTATGTGTGTGAATGTGTGTGTGTGTGTCACGCGCACGCCCCCGAAAGAAGCCTGCACTATGAAGTTGGGGCGGGAGGGAAGACCCCAAGAATGATCTGGGTGTCGCTCAGCCTGGTCTCACCAGGTGCCTGTAACTTCAGGGGCTGGTCTGAGCTGTAGGATTTTCTCTTACATCACTTTTTCCCTTCTCTTCTCACCTCTGTGGACTCTCCATACTCATGAATGCCTGGACTGTGCTCCTGGTAAGTCTTGCCCAGGGTGGGTGGGGCCTGAGCTGGGGAAGAATTGGGGAGCGGCTACCAAGGGAAGCCCCTCTCCCCTACCTCAAGAAGCGCTAGAGCATCGGCGTGGTGCCTGGCCTCATAGGACTGTGTCTTGCAAGGAGAGAGGCACACCCAAACCAGAGCTGCGTCTTCTGGACACAGGCTGGGGTTCTGAGGGGCCGCCTGGGGGCTTTGAGGGGCTGTGGCAGAAGCAAGTTCCCAGGACAGTGCCACATTCCTACTCCTCGCCCCACACCCGGCTCCGAGTCAGGGTGGGCACAGAGGGGCTGGCTTCCCGATGGCCCTGCGCCAGCTAGGCTCCTTTCTCTCCTTTTAACTCACCCCTCCTCTTGCCCAGCCCCCACAGGACGATGATGATGCAGAGACTGGCCTGACTGAGGGAGAAGGTGAAGGGGAGGAAGAGAAAGAGCCAGAGAATCTGGGCAAACTGCAATTTTCCCTGGATTATGATTTCCAGGCCAACCAGGTATGAGGGCTGGGCTGAGGGGTGAAGTGGGGGACGGGGCATAGGGCTGGGATCTGGGTGGGAGGGGGATAGAAACAACCCCACACTCCCACACCCTTCACCCCCCACCTCGGCCCATAGACATCGCTCCCTTCCATGGAGTGGGGTGGGCTGGAAACCCTGGGCATGTACCCCAAGACACTGACTCTGCCTTGGCCACCAGCGTGCTCTAGAGAAGGTTCCCTGGCTCAGATGGGCTCTGCTGTAAACTTGCCCACCAACCTTGGGCAAATCAGTTGCCCTCTCTGTTTCCGCTTCCACTGATATCATGCCAAATTCCTGGGGCTGGAGATGGAGACCGGTCTTCTTCTCTAACACCAGCCTGTTCCTACCCCAGCCCCCCAGCAGCCCGCCGCTGGGGAAGGGTTGGTGCATGCTGGGTTCGGGGCCAGGTCTGATGTTGGAGCAGTCCTGAGACTCAGGGCCCCCTTGTTGTCTCCACAGCTTACCGTTGGCGTTCTGCAGGCTGCTGAATTGCCTGCCCTGGACATGGGAGGCACCTCAGACCCTTATGTCAAAGTCTTCCTTCTTCCAGACAAGAAGAAGAAATACGAGACCAAAGTCCATCGGAAGACACTGAACCCTGCCTTCAATGAAACTTTCACCTTCAAGGTGATGCGGGCTGGAAGGATAATGCCAGTTCCCTCCCCGATCCCAATTCCATTTGAGTTCTGCAGACCTTTCCTTGGTCCTTAGCCATGGCTAAGGCCCTGAAATGAGCTCAGGCTGGAACGATGGCAGGTTGGACTGTGGGCTTATGTGTGAGGTCACTGCTCAGGCTCCTGTAGGCCTGGGACATCCCCCCTTCCCAAACACATTCTGCTCCCCCAGGCCCCGAAGTCTTCTCTCTGTCTCTACACACTCACCGAGAGTCCCGTGGGCTATCGGGAACAGAGCTCAGACCCAGGGTCCTGCCCACAGCAGCCCCTGGAGGTGCGTGAGTTGCTTTGACCCCTCTCTGATCCTGCTTGTGCCCTGCAGGTGCCATACCAGGAGCTAGGAGGCAAAACCCTGGTGATGGCTATCTATGACTTTGACCGCTTCTCCAAACACGACATCATTGGAGAGGTAAAGGTGCCTATGAACACCGTGGACCTAGGCCAGCCCATCGAGGAGTGGAGAGACCTGCAGGGCGGGGAGAAGGAGGAGGTGAGAGGGGGAAGATGAATGTGGCTGCCGACCTGGGTTACCGCCTATTGGCCTGACAGGGAGAGGGCGGGCTTTAGAGTTAGTGAGCCGGGTTAGGATCCCAGCTCCACACCCTCAGCTGTGTGACCCTGCATACGTCACTGAATCTCTTTCGACTTGGGTTCTCTCCTGTAGTCTGTTTTTGCAGGTGAGAATTACCTATCTCTGTAATGCACCCGGCACCCAGTAGGCATTTGGCATCTAGTAGGTGCTCAAGTAAAGGAGAACACCATTATTATTTTACTCCTAAGTTCCTGCTGTCACTTAGGGCCAGTGATTCATGACTTTGTGCCTCAGTTTACCCACAGGGAAAGCCCACATTTATTCTAAAAGTTTCTCAGTATGGGGGCTTGTCCTCCCAGCAACTGCTACAGCATTCAATCACTTACCAAACACTTACCGAGCACCTACTGTGTGCCAGATACTCCATTTTAGCCACTGCTCCTTCCAGGCATCGGTCCTTTGTCTCAGCCAAGCCCCTGCTGTGTGTCCAGCACAGTACCAGGTGGTAATGGAGGGGGTGAGAAGAGACACTTAACACACCCTTCCTTACCTTGGGGCTCACGCTGTGTGGGAGCAGGGCCAGCACACCTAAGCTGGGATATGGGTGAGGTGGTCAGAATTGGCCCAAGTGGCCCCATCTCTGAGAAGCTCGACTCTGGTGTGATGTTGGCAGAGCTCGCAGGACTCAGCAGCCCTGGGTTCTCATCCTGCCTCCAGTGCGAAATTGTGGGGCTTTGTGGAACTCTCAGTGGTCACAGAGAACCCTCCACTTGTCTATGTGAAAGCGTTGCGGGCACAGTAACCCAGGAAAAGGGATGCAACGTGCTTTGAGGACCACGGATCACTGTGCCAGTGGAATGGTTGTTGGGAGCTACCTCCAGGGCGGAAGGGTCAGGGAGGAAGACCTCTGAGACACTCAGTTTCGCTGTGTCCTTGGAAAGGAGCCCTTTCCAGTGCGCCACACCCACTCCTTCCCTCCTCCCCTGGGCCTGGGGTGGGAGCCCGGACGCACCCCACGCCCCGCGCCTTCTGTCAGGCACACACTCCTGCCCGCAGCCTGCGCTCCCTCCACTCACTCCTGAGGCCCTGGTTCCTGCAGTCCCCCTCTCGGGGGCTTTGTTGAACTGCAGCAGGAGGCCCCGCCCCCAGACCTTCTCCAAACGTCACAGATGTGGGGACTGGGGACCCAGAGAGCAGGGGAGGCACCACTGTCTTGCTAGTCTCGGCAAGAGGGGCATGAGCCGTGTTGGAAGTGGTGGGATGGCTGAGATGACCCTGAGTCCTGCTCTCCCCCCTGGACAGCCAGAGAAGCTGGGCGACATCTGCACCTCCCTGCGCTACGTGCCCACGGCCGGGAAGCTCACCGTCTGCATCCTGGAGGCCAAGAACCTGAAGAAGATGGACGTAGGCGGCCTTTCAGGTACGTGCAGGGCTTCTGGCTGCCACTGGGTGGCACCAGCGAGCCAGTCACCTCCCGAGCCCTCTGTTCACACACCCGTTAGAGCCGCGCTTTCCTGCCCTGGGACATAGGGGATATGTCAGAGCAGCTGGGGGTCCTGGGGGCAGCACCGTGGAGCAGGAGACGCCCGGCTTTCCCCCCTTTCTCTGAGGGTCCCCTGTCCCCGCTCTGAGCTGCCGGGCGGTACGGGCCATGGAGGAAAGGATCAGAGAAGCTTCATCTCCCAGATGAGTTAGGGACTTCTCCCAGGGAAGTGTGGGAAGGGGACGGGGTGCAGCCCGGAGCTTGCCTCTCTGTCGTGTCACTGACCATCCGGGACACTTCTCCGGGAGAGGCCCTGCCGGCTTTACCTGGGAAGGGCACTGCGGGGTGGGCAGCGCGCAGAGCGGGGTTGACCCACAGCATGGGGCCTGCTGGCCCCAGCGCTGCCACTGACCAGCTGTGTGACCGGGGACACGTCGTTTCCCTTCTGTGGGCCTCAGTTTCTCATCTGCAAGGTCTGGAGGATTGGACCGAATCAGGGATGGCAGATGTGTGTGGTGCCATTAGCATTCCTCTGTCCCCTGCCTGGACAGATAGCACCAAGTGAACCCCTTACTCCTTCTGGACGAGGCCTTCCTTAGTCTCAGGAATAGCCCCCATGTAATGCTCTAGGCAGCCACAGCCAGTCAGTCCGCGGTGGTCTTAGAAGTGCAACTTTCTTGCTGCCCTTGAACTAGACACTTACTTCGCTTCTTTCGGACTCAGCAGCCTGTGCCTCAGGGCTTGCTGGGCACCTGGCCTTGGCCGGTGGGCGCTCTGGGAGGCGAGTGCATTTGGTGGGAGGGTGGGGGCGGGGCTAAGGGAGCCTCTCTGGGGCTGGGATTCTCCCTGCGCAGACCCCTACGTGAAGATCCACCTGATGCAGAATGGCAAGAGGCTCAAGAAGAAGAAGACGACGGTGAAGAAGAAGACCCTGAACCCCTACTTCAACGAGTCCTTCAGCTTTGAGATCCCCTTCGAGCAGATTCAGGTGCTCGGGTTTTCGGGCATAGCGGCACAAGCGGGTGGGGGCGGCACGTGTGCCCTCGTAGGGGCTCGAGGGAACTCACCCCAAACCTCGAGCCGCCTCGCTCAGGCAGGGAGGGCTCTGGCTCTCACTGAGCCATCCTGGGGCCTCCTCCCCGGGGCCCCTTCTACAGCTTCCCCCCGTCCCTGAGTTGAACATGAGCTATTCAGAACAAGTCATTCCTTCAGGCCTGGGGGGCAGCCGCGTGTGCGGTGCGCCCGTGAGGTTGTAGCTGCCGAGGAGGCGGGGGGTGTGGGGGGGGCAGACTCTCCTCTTCCTGCTCTCCTGGGCCAGCCGTTTCCCGCCTCGCTCATCCCTCCCCCACCTCGGCTGCTCCCTAGGTCTGCCCCCAGCTACCCCTCCGCCCCCTTCCTCTCTCCTCTTTCCTTCCATCCTCCCCTTCTCTCTCTCTCCTAGCTTCCTCCTGCCAGCAGGCTCTGTAAGTGTTGGGAGGTGAGCTCTGTGTTTCACCACGAGCGGCCGTGAGTGGGATCTGAACGTGGCAGGACCAGATACCCACCCAGCCGTCAGGGGCTTGCAGAGTGCTGGATCCTCCTGCACTCTTGGTCTCTCCCTCTTTGGGCTGAACTGCCCCCTCTTCTCTCCCTCTCCCCGCACCCCCTGCCCTCCCCTCCCTAGGGCTGGAAGGAAGGGGTGCCAAGGGAATCGTCAGAGCTGGTGTCGGCATCTATGGAGAAGTCATCAAGGGGACAAGGGGCAGCTCGGGGATAATGTTAGACCGAGAGGGGTCGTCCTTGTGGAACGCTTCAGGTGGCTATAAAGGGAACTGGCCCAGGGCTTTCAAATTCGACGTGCCTAAAACCAATTTAATGATCTTCCGCATATGGCTCCCAGCCAAACCTGCTTCGTCCGCCTTCTGTTTTCAAGCGAGAGACCAGGGCATCATCTCAGACCCTCTGCCCTTTTTCTTTCCTTTCTCATTTATCCAACATACTTTGCTGAGGACTCCCTAAGTGCCGGGAACTCGTGAGGGGCTGGAGAAACACACGTGTAGAAGACACGGTCCTTGCTGTCCGAGGGCCTCACGGTCGGGAGGGGCAGCAGTAAGAGGCCACCGAAACACAGGGAGATGGGCCTTCAGCGTGAGCAAATGCAGAGCACGGTGGACAGCACAGCTGAGGCTTGCTGGAGCACGTCTGGTCCTGAAGGATGAGCCTGAGTTGGTGGAGGGGGGCCGGGGGGGGGGCAGACCAGAGGAAGGCACTGACTGTCCCCTCCGCTGGCCCGACTGACCACCAAGTTCTCTTGATTCCCTTCCCTCAACACCTCTCCAGTCTGGCCCCTACTTCCATTCCCACTGCCCTGCCTTGGTTCAGGCATTCACGACCCCCCTCCCCTCCCGACCCCACCGCGACCCCGCAGCCAGGCCCAGTCCCCCTCCAGTGAATCTCCCACCTCAGCGCCCGGGTTCTCATCCTGAAATTTCCATGCCACTCCTCTCAGAAGTCTTTGGGAGCTCCCTGCAGCTCGGCTGAAGAATAAAAGCCCATTCGTGGGGGGCTGCTGGCCCCATTTACGCCTTGTTGCTTCTCACACTCTACCTCAGTGGCTCTGAACTTTGTCTGTTCCCCAGACACCATGTGCACACTTGTGTTTCTGCGCTTTGACCAAGGCTACTCTTCCTTCCTGGGATCCTCTTCTCTCTCTGCCTAGAAAAGCTCTCAGCCCTTACCTCCCAGTTTCTGTGTCACCTCCTCTGTGAAGCCTTTCCTGTCAGTGTCTGTCACTTGGGGTTGTAGGTGTCTGAGTACATGTCTGCTGCTTTCGTTGGAGGCGATGTTCACAACTTCCTCCCCGTCCTCCACCCTCAGCCCCTCAATGGCGGGCCGGAGCCCGGCACATGCTCAGTAGGTGCCTCTCGGTAGAAACAAAGGCTCTTTCCAGCAGGTGTGGTCTCTGCCTCCGTGTAAGTTCAGTCTTAGTTGGAGCCAGAGAGGGAAGCAAAGTGCCCAGGGAGGCCTCTCCTTGCCGGGCATTTGGAGTAGAGGATGGAGAAGGACAAGTTCGGTCCCGGGATTGCTCATTTTCACCTGCCAACCCCCTCCCTCCTTTGTTTCCCCACAGAAAGTCCAGGTGGTGGTCACCGTGCTGGACTATGACAAGCTGGGCAAGAACGAAGCCATCGGCAAGATCTTTGTGGGCAGCAACGCCACGGGCACGGAGCTGCGGCACTGGTCCGACATGCTGGCCAACCCCCGGAGGCCCATCGCCCAGTGGCACTCGCTCAAGCCCGAGGAGGAGGTGGACGCACTTCTGGGCAAGAACAAGTAGGCGGCAGTGGCCGGGACCCCGCGCCGTGACAGACACTGACAAGATCCAGAGCTATCAATACCTCAGTTATGCGACCTTAGAGGTTTTCTTTCTCATTTGTTTGTGGCTGTGTCCCTGTTTTTCCTTCCTTTTCTCTTTTTAAGGACCAACTTCCCTCTGATGGCTGTGTGAGGAGAGTCCCCTAACAGGTGAAAGAGAAGTCTGGCTCTTTTCATCGTCCCAGGAGCGGTCCTTGCTGCATGCCCTGTCACGTTTCCCTCTCACTTCTTCAAAGCTTCACTGAAGCCCACCCTGAGTGAGGCCCTCTTCGGCAGAAAGTTGCAGCACTTCCTGTTTTTTTGAGTGTTCTGGGCCAACAAAATGGCAGCACATCCTGTTTCCTGACAGGAAAGGCAACACAGTGGCCTATGATGTGTGTGTGTGTGTGTGTGTGTGTGTGTGTGTTTGTGCGCGCGCGCACGCGCATGTGTGTGAGCATCTCTCTGCATTCCTGGAATGAGCCATGGACAGTAAAGTTGTGTGGGAAGAGAAAGCTCTTCAGGGACCCTGAAACGAAGAGACATCCACTGTCTAAGTGGGAGATCTTCTGTCAGCTCGTGGAGAGGGCTCAGAATCCCGGTCAGAAGCCAGAAGCTCCTGTACTCCTTGTGGGTGGCTATTTGGGAGGCAAGATGTGGAGACTGGATTTGTCCAGAACTGGGACCAAATCCCTGATGCCATCATAGACTTCCTCCTGTCAGGCATAGTTTCCCCACAAGTGTGGTTTCTGGGACATTCATGGACATGAACTATTCACTAGATTGGTCAGGCTCTAACAGGGACCATCACTCCTGGGACCTCATATGTTGATGACAGTTCACATCAAACTATGAAGAAACAAGACCCATTTACCTAGAAAGACCAAATGAAACTCGTGGATCTTCTTCACTCCCTTCCAGTGGGAAACACGGATGCTTTCTCCCTTTCCAGAATATAAGCTATGCGGTTCATTTGCATTGATTCCTCATCATGCTTTTGCTTCTGTTTTCTCTTTTAATCTAAACAGAGCAACGCTATCTGAAGACTGTTTTCTGTACAGAGCCAGAGAACTCTAAAAGAAGGTTTAAATATTCTTAGTTCCCCTGAGGTCCAGGTAAGAAGGGGAGCATGGCGGACAGACGGCAGAGGTTTCCCGGATGAGGTAGGCAGGAGTGCTGAGACCCCCCAGCTCCCCCTCCTCTGCCTTCCATGCCAGACAGCGTACGGGCAGCTGGTGGGGCCCAGGGAGACCTGTGGGGAGGCCCCAGCCTACCATTTCTTAGGGAGGCTTCTCGCTCTGAATGCCAGGAAGCAGGACACCCATTCCAAATGGGTGGTGAGGACACCTGCTGGGGTTTCTACCCCACGCTCAGTTGTGTCCCATTCCCTCTTCAGCTTTTGTCCCCAGCACTGATAAAAAGCCATATATATGTTAGTCAAGTTTGCACTGAGCCTCCTTCCAAACATTCAGCCTGGGCAAGAGAGTTAGGCCCCACATGGCCTGAGGCCAGCACCACTTCCTTCCGCCCCTTCCTCCCGTCCTTGCCTCCCTTCCTTCAGCCTCTCTCTTCCATCAATGAAGCCCTGAGGCCCCTGCCATTTCTTCACCACAGAATACTCATAGCTTCCTCAGAACCTTGGGGATCTCTCTCTCCCAGCAAAAATTCCTGTCGTGCCCCATCTGGGCCACCTCAGCTTCCTATAGGTACCTGAGATAGATGGACAGCGTTAGAGAAAATCAGGCTTTGAGGATCCACATGAAGGAGGTGCGGAGTGTCTTTTCATTTTGTTAAAAGAAAGGTGGGTTTTTTGTTTCTGCTGTGCCATGTTTTTTGGTTAGAGTAGGGGATGAGGGAACACCTCCACCAGAACCAGACTGGGAAGCGGGTTTCAGCCTTGTTCATCTCTCAGAGATGCCAGTGGCCCTTGGTACATGGGAGATTGTATTTTCCTGGACCCTGTGTGAGTGTGGGTGTGTACTTAATGATGAGAAGGTAGGACTCTGACAAGGACTGTGAGCTTTGGTCCTTGGGACCGGAGTTGTGGTCATGGTAGAGAGTTGTAGGAAAATAGGGTGCCTTCAGAATCGGGCTGACTGCAGCGTAGGATGTCCTGATACGGACATCAGAAGTCACTGGACTCTTCTCCCATCCCCAGAACTGTGGGATTTTGGTGCTTTCTCAGGGTCTCTCTCCCCACCATATCCCACAACCCTTGTTCATAGGACCTCCCTGCCGATCTCATCTTCCTTACCTTCATTCTTTTGCCCTTTCCCAGTGTACTTTCTACTACGTGAGATTCTTCTCTGCCCATGAACCTCATTCAGCCCTCCCAGAGCCCAAGATTTGCCACTCTCCTGATGGGGGGAAAGGAAATGGTGGGCACCTCTGGTGGTTTGGGTGTCCATGTGCCAGAAGACAGGGGCTGGATTTTGTTACTCTGGGCCACCTCTAGTGAGCAGCCTTGAGGGGTGGGGACAGATTGCTGAGAGACTGAGTGTGGGCAACAATTCCTCCCTCCCACCCACCTAGGTTCCAGCTCGTCCTTGGATGGGCCCTTGGCCCAGATGAGCCATCCTAGTGAAGGCATCTATCCAGGTCCATGAACTAGGCAGGTGAACATACTTATGCTTGTAAGCTTTCTACACCTGAGGGGTGATGTTACCCAAGGCACGGAGCATCATTCTGAACCCTCACTTCCATGCAGGTTTATTTCTGGGGATGTTAGGGTGCTGGGGTGTATGCCCGAAGTGGGACAGAGTGAGTTCTGGCTCGTGAGGGGTTCTGGAGGCCTCTGCGACTGTGAGTTCTCACTCCCAAAGTCTATTGCAGACAGGAAAATAGGATAGAAGTGATTTTTTTCCACATGGACTGAGACCATAAAGACCCAAACCCAATCCCATCCGGAACTGGGGTGAGGCCAGAAAGCTCAGTCCTCTCCTTTCGCCTTGAATAATCCTTCCAGAAGAGAAACTAACTCTGCCAGAGCCATATGCAGATTTTTGGACTTTGGAAGCGGAAGCTGAGGCCTGGGGGAAGCAGGGTAGAGAACACTCGGGCAGCCCCAGAGAGCCAGTGAGCAGGTGCTTGGCATGAACGAGAAGAGCCTTCGCAGGGATCCCTCAGCTGGGGGATGGGACAGCAGGGCTTAGAGCGTAGTCTCAGATCCTGATCTTCTTTTCTTCCCAGGAAACCATACATAGCTGCGGTTCTGCAGAATCAGTCCGGGATGATTTTGCTGGCCCAGGGCTCCAGTGAGAGAGAAGAGAGAGGTTGTAGCAGTCCTCCTGTGGGTAAAACCAGCTCCCTGAAAAACCAGCCTCCATGCAGTGGGGTGGTGGTGGGTGAGCAGAGAGGTTGAGAAACCTCCCCTGCGGTTGGGAGTGAGAGATTCCCTGTTCCTCTAATGTATGCTAATTCTCGGTCTCACCCAACCACATACAGAGAGAGAGAGGCTGTCCTTTGTCCTTCCACACAAAGGTAGGAAGCGATTGAGCCAGGACCTGCCCTCCGACCCTCCACTCTGTCCCTACTCCTCTCCGCCTTCCCACCTGAGGCTGGTTGGGCGCCCCTTCTCAGAGCTCTGGCTGGTGGCAGGCAGGGAAGGGTCCCAAGGCCTGGTCTTGGTGGCGCGGAGTCCCACAACGTGGTTGTCAGATTTGGCAAATAAAAATACAAGATATCCAGTTTGATTTGCATTTCGATAAACAGTACATAAATTTAAAGTCTGTCTTAGGCAAATTTGGGACATACGATACAAAAAGTGATTTGTAGTTTATCTGAGATTCAAATTTAACTGGCCATCCTGTGTTTTATCTGGCACCCCTATGCTATGACCACTTACCCCCTCTGCCCCCTCAGTCCCAGGGGGCCAGAGACTGGTCACCAAGGATCTTACTTAACCTGCTTTTCGAGCTGCAATATTGAGAAGGGGACACTGTGACTTGAAGACACATGAATATACTTTATTTTTTAAGTGACAACAAAACAAGAACCTTCTGAAGCCATTTGAGCCTCATGACCCCCTCCATGTGCATTTAGTTATATATAAAAGAAGATAGTGATCTATAAACCTATGAACCGAGTCTCGTTTACTCAACATGCATGTCTCTGACTTTCTGTAAATAGTCGCATGGCCATGCTGAGAGTCCCCCTAACCCCTGCCCTCGACCCCACTTTACACAACTCGTTGAGGCCGCTCCTTCGATTTTATGTCACGTAAAGTCTTTGTCCCCAAGCCCCACCCTGTCTCACCCCATTGGGAACCCCCCAGTGGGAGCCACCGGCTGGGGGCGTCGGTTTCGGGCTCGGGCACCAGCTCTGCCTTCGGGGACGTGGGAGGGCCACTGGCGCCCCGAAGGCCGGCCCCCACTGCTTGCTGCACATCCGTCTGCAGAGCCGACCCTCAGTGTACCGTGCGCTGTGTCCAGCCTGGGGTCTGCTGTGTCCCGCGTATGTGTGCGGTGTGCCCCTTCCTCCCACTGTATGAATTCACTGAAAAGCCATAAAGGGGGCCTCCTGCTGGAGACTGCCCTTGGTTCCTCCCAGGAGCCCCCCCGTGTCCCTCCGACTGGCTCCCCACAGAACACTTGTGAAGGGCTCACCTGCTGTCACCCCTCCCGCTCTCTCAGCCCCATGTCACGAGGGTGGATGGCGTCCAGGGCTTCTGGCCGAGTCCCAGGAGGCGTCCGGGCTGGCCCTGCCCAGGCGGGCTCCTCCACCTGGATTTGACAGTCCAACTCCATCTCCATCCTGCGTGTGGTCGGGGCAGTGGGGGGGACGCCATAGTTTCAGGGCAGTGAGGAGGCAACCAGGATTTTCAGGAGCAGCTAGTCAGCGGCTCAGGTTCCCATCACCATCCGGGCTTGACAGAACCAGCCCTGCTTCTGTAACACAGTGGGGTCAGGGGCCGTGGGTGGCAATGCAGGAAGGCCTCTGGGGGCGGGAGTGCACTGGAGAATGCAGTGGGTTAGGCTCTTCCCA